ATTTAACGGCAGGAGGACCTTTCATGTAATTTTACAAACCACAGGGACCAGTCACGTGACTTTTTGCTAGAAAGTCCTCAAAGTGCGATATTCTGTAAACCAAAGGGACCAATTGTGAAATTTTGTCAAGAAAAAAAAAGGTTAAATAAAAGTGAAATTCTAGAATCTTCCAAACCACTTTAAAGACATATAAATAACGGCATTAAGCCTCATTTATGGTAAATCAAAATGGTTTCCTTACTTTTGCTCTGGTAATAAAAGGAGTCCTAACTTCTTCTTACTGTAAACGTGAAGGGCATCATCATCCCCATTTTCAGAAGAACCGATGGGGCTGTTCTCGAACAGGTAAAGATATTTCCCAATAGTTTTCGGTTATGGCTTTACATTATAATGTGGATGAAAAGACTACGATTTGGCGTAATGCAGAGTCGATAGAGAGAGTCTGAAACCAGGAGATCACATATATTCATGGCGTGTTGCTTATATTTATGCTCATCATGGTATTATTCTCTCAATTTTTTACTAATTGTTTTGTTTCTTGATCAAATTCTTGTTGGAATCAAGTTTATTTGAGTGACGACAGATCTAATGTGCGTTATTTCATCGAGTGACAAACCCTAGCTTTTTGTCCCCCTTTTGTATTTGATTTCAGTGCTTTGTACTCATCTTCTTGTGGCTGTTCGCTTAAGCAATTTTACTGAAATGTTGTGTTTGTAAATTTTTTTTCCACGGATTTCGATAATTTTGAAATGTAGGGTGTGGATATGTGATACTAGGTGTGAGAATTTTATTTAAAAAAAATTACATGAGTTTATTTAAAAAAATTAAATTATTAATTACATTAGTTTATTTAAAAAAAATAAATATGAAATTTTAACAATTTGGGAATTTTGAAGTTATAAGAAAAATTTTAAATTATTAAAATTAATGAGGCTTTAATACATTTAATACATATATAAACTCTTTGCAGTAAATATACCTTACATATATATATATATATATATATATATATATATTAAATGTGAAAATTTAATTTAATAAAATGAAAAATACAATAAAATGACAAGTGGAAAATAAAAAATTCAAAAATTTTAGAAAATGCCATGTGTCCAAGAGAAGAGGACATGTGCCAAAAAGGTTTTTATTTATTAGGGAGGATATGATATTTGATTTAAGAGCATAACAATGAGCTTTTGCATGAGGTTATTTTGGTTAGATACACTTTTTAAAGAAAAAATAGTTATTATGGAAGTTTATTAAATTTAAAGGCTTTCAAATAGTTTATAAATTCAGAAGCAGCTTTTTCTTTTATAAATTTTCAATTAATTGTAAATACAAATTTTATACAAATATTGATAAAATAATGAGTTAAACATCTCTCTCTCTCTATATATATATATATATATATATATATATATATAAAAGATCTCTTAAATTTTTTCATTTTTTACGATTTGACCTTGACATTATTATACTTTTTTGGATTAAACCTATATTTTATTTTATTTTTATGTAGAATCTATAAATTACTGGTAAACCTACTAAAATGGTTAAATAAAAAAAACAAAAAAAAAACGTAAGGTTTTTCGGAAAGAAAAAATGAACTTGAAATTGAATCCGGAAAAACGAGCTTATACAGGGTATTTTGTGTAGTTGACCCTAAAATGATATAAAAAATTGGTGAGTGTCATAAATGAGTTGATGAAAAAATATTGTTGTTGTTGTTGGTTTTATTTATTTATTATTTTTTAGGTTTTTAAAATTATGAGGCTTCGCGAAAAAAACTCAATAAACAAGTGTATACAGGTATCTATGTTGGTGATAACAAAGTAATTCATTTCACGAGACACGGTCAAGAAGCAGGAACCGGTTCGGTTTTTGATGTCCTAACGGGTAGCTCAGCACCACCACCGACTCTAATCCCATGCCCTAATTGCACGCCTACCAAGAACACCAACGGAGTTATCGCCTCTTGCCTCGACTGTTTCCTCTCCGGTGGAGTCCTCTACCGTTTCGAATACTCCGCCAACCTCGCCGTCTTCATGGGCAAAGCACGCGGCGGTACGTGCACTCTTGCCGCCTCAGACCCACTGGAAACCACCCTCCACCGCGCAAACTGCCTCCTTGACCATGGCTTTGGGTGCTACAATGTTTTCAAGAACAATTGCGTAGACTTTGCTTTATATTGTAAAACGGGCCTTCTTGTTTCAGATAAAAAGTCAACAAGTCAAAGTGGACCCGCGTCATCATCCTTCATTGGTGGATCCCTAACGGGTGTCGTTTCTGTTTTGTTTAAGGTTACGAAGACAACATCGGGTGTGCTATCGGGTGCGGCTATGTATTATGTTAGTCGCTATACGTATGATTTTGGTGTAAGGAGTGATGTGATTAAGCTTGATGTGGAGGATCTACCACATAAGTAGGCATAACAATAATGGTACTTAGTATCGGGTTGTTTTTTTTTTTACTTGATGAACTTTATATGTTAACTATTTTAACTTAGACGCCTATGTATGATTGTCTTTTATATGATTCAGACAAAATGACTTGATGGATTTTTACAACTTATGGAGTTTGTGTGCATGTAATTAATCAAGTTGTAGTTATAAAGAATTATCTACTTGGATTCCTACAATTTGATAGTTTTCTATCTCCAAGATTTAAATAATGAAATTAAATGTGGCAATTTGTATTGAGTTTGGGTTAAGTCGATCGCAAGAAAATGTTATCTAAAGTACAACTCAAACACGAAAATAAAATTCAGATAACTTGATTAGTTAAACAGCTCAAACGGTTTCACCGGTTTATGGAAACAACTTACTTAGATAGTGAATATTGTATAATCATAAATAGGTTAGTAAAATAAAAATATCTAAATTCCAATTTAAAAACCCAATTTTCAGTACATAAAAACGCTATCAAACATCTGATAAACTAATTTAAACTCTAAAATCTAAGCATCTCATAAAAAGAGTAACCCATGCAATCTAAGTGGCCCATGGAACCCAAAATAGGTCTCGTCACATATGAGGTTAGTCGTTCAGCAATGATAATATTTTGAGCAACTAATATTTGATCTTTAAATCTTCTGTTTGAAAATCTACATTCAAAATATTTATAATTGAGTATCTCATAGGGAAAACCTTAGAAAAACCCAACATATTTTCATCAAATCCTTAAAAAAACCAATATATTGTTTTTTTGTACGCTAAAACCTTTATATTTTTTAAAATCTAATTTAAGGCTTTGAGATCGGTAAACCCTAGATAGCAAAAAAAATACTAGTTAATCGATTCTCAACGGTTTGATGGTTACAATGCAAGATTAAAAATTTTCAAAAAATATAAGGGTTTTAAAGTACTATAAAAATAATATAGTGGTTTTTTTAATGCTTAGATGAAAATGGATTGGATTTTTCTACAGTTAAAAAGACTTAAATAAGACTTTCAAAAAATATAAGGGTTTTAGTACACTAAAAAATAATATAGTGGTTTTTCTTTTTTTAAAAATTAGATGAAAATATGTTGAGTTTTTATGGGGGTATCCCTATCTGATATTAAGGATCGATTTGTGATCATGAGCAAAGTGGTTTCAGAATTCTTTTGTCACTCAACTGGTCCGGAATTAGACATGTTTGTTATTTTGTCAATATTCTAAAAAATAGGTTAGTTTTATTAAAATTTATCACAAATGTGGTTAGTTTTATCAATATCCCTAAGTATTATCATATCAACAAAAATGGAAACGAATACGTTTTGGTTGAGCATACAAATTCTAATAAATAGACTTTGATGCTTGATGCGCGTCTTCAACATTCTTTATACGAAAGTTTTTGCACACGAATTCTTTGTCTTTGTCGAACTTGTAATGCCGAATAAAAGATTAAAAAAACAAAAGAGAGATTTAGATCCAGTTTATGTTTGGGTGAAAGGTTCTTATTAAAAAAAAAAGAATAAAAAAAGACTTAATATCCACACATATAACAATTGCTTTCTTCTGTATATAACATAAAGTCATAAATCCTAGTCATTTGTAAACAAAAAAAACCATACACAACAAAAGAAAAAATCCATTAAGCCAAAACACATTATTACTTGGCCAAAGTAAACACACAAACTTCACAAAGTCTTAACAACAACAATACAACACTACATACCATTATTACCAACCACTAAAGCCGGAATCCTCGATTCCGCCAACGCCGGAATCCCCGATTCCACCACCCTAAGTTCACCCGTCGCCAACCTCCGTGTCAAATCCTCCACTCGCACCTTCACCACATCCGGCCTCATCCCAATATCCGCCGCATACCGACTCGCACAATACACACCAACCGCAGTCGCCGCCATCCCATAAACATTCGTGGTCACAAGCCTTAGCGGCGACGCCAAAACCGCCGCCAATGGCCCACCGATAATAGAAACCGCCTGCCCGCTCCGCCCAATCGTCCCTTGCTCAACAACAAGCTTCCCCGTCTTACAATAGATTGCAAAATCCTCACAATTACTCTTGAAAACATTGTAGCAACGGAAGCCGTTGGTAAAGAGGTAGTTTGCGCGGTGGACGACGGTTTCCGGTGGGTCGGTGGCGGCGAGAGTGCAAGTGCCGCCGCGGGCTTTGGCGAGGAAGAGGGCGGGCGTGGCGGAGTATTCGAAGCGGTAGAGGGCGCCTCCGGCGAGGAAACAGTCGAGACATGAGGAGAGGACTCCGTTGGTGTCGTCGGATTGGGTGCATGTGGCGCAGGGGACGTGGGACCGGGTTGGGGTTGAGCTGACTAGGAGGATGTCTAGAATTGTTCCGGTTCCTACTTCTTGACCGCGTCTGGTGAAATGAATGACTTTGTTATCACCAACATATATACCTAGGGATATCGGTTTCAGTGTCAGTCTAATACATGTCAAATACAGTACAACCTGTTTTATGATCAATCATGTACCGTCAGCACAGTACAACCTGTTCTATCATGTAAGATTAATCTAATGCATGTCAAATGCTTACAACCTATTCTATCATGTACTATTAGTCTAATGCATTTCAAATACAAGATGCAGAACACATAGAACTAATCATTTATCAATGTTGGATTATTTATAATTTTGATAAAAAAAAAAGGGTGCGATATTCATTAGATGAAAATGCTATATGCAGATGGATGGAATCAAAGGAGCTAGAATTTTGTTTTATGTGTTCTTAGAAAAAAAAAATTGTTTAATTACGTTAGGTGAAAGTTATATGTTTTGAATCATAGTTTGAAACTTGAAACTTTGTAGTAAGAAGATGATAATAATAACACGAAGCTAGCAGGAAGATCCAAATACATGATCGAATCAACATCGGGTCACCAAATTCGAAATTATCGAAATTCGACAAAAAAATTTGAAAAACTTTCGTAGTCAAGTCCAGAAACAAAATGGCAATCCATGAGTAGAAATTACAACAAGAACGAGCGTAAAGAAAACGCAATCGAATAGAGAAGGAACATAAAGCTAATGGAAACTAGGGTTTGTAAATAGACGAAATAATTCAAATTTCGATCGAATAAATTCGATTGTAAAGAGAAATTGATGAAGAAACAAAAACGAGTGGCGAAAAAGGGAGAGTAATACCATGATGAGCATAAATGTAAGCAGCACGCCATGAATATATATGATCTCCTGGTTTCAGACTCCCCCTATCCAATCTGCATCACGCAAAATCAAAATTTTTCATCAATTTATCCACCAAGATAATCAAGTAAACCTGAAATTGAAATCAAAAGCTTTACCTGTTCGAGAGAAGCCCCATCTTTTCTTCTGAAAACGATGATGAATTGATGATGAAGCCTGTATCGTTTATTTGTTTACTATTTTCAGAAGAAATTGGGTTTCTCTTATTAACCGCTTTGAATTGCAGAAGTAATAGGATTCCTTATCGAGCGAAATTACGATTTTATCCCTCTACGCGTTCTCTTCGTGTGTAAGTAAACCAGACCGGGGAATGGGGATGGACGTCGACGATCGTCAAGATAACGGCGAAGACCCGTGTTGTCGTCCACGTGTCCTTCACTCGGGATAACGGGCCGTTAAGTGTATAGTTTATGATGGGCTGTAACGCCTGACGCCCAATATATTGGGCTAAACACTTACGTTATGGACTGGCTGATAGAGGTGGACATAATCCCATTTGGATCCGATAACGGATTAGTTCGTTTTTTTCATTATTGATTTAAAGAGGGAAAATTCACTTGTAACAAATTAACATTAATTTTTCTATTCTAATAAAAGAATAATTTTATTCTTTTTTGCCATGTATCATCATAAAGATTTCTAATTAATATCATGCGTCAACGTATTGATTTTCCATTTTAAATTCCAAATTTTAAACTTTTCACTTTAATTATATTAAATTAATAAGATTAGAATAAAAATTAAAATAAAATTAATATAAATTATAAGGGATATAAATTCACGTATTTATTTAAATCAACGATTATAATTTTATAAAACTAAAAAAATATCTTAATTAATAATTTATTTAAAAAAATTGATTAATAATTTTGAATTTTTATTATGAAAGTTTAATTAATTTTGTAACCATTGTTTTGAAAACCGGACCGGGCCGGCGACCGGTTGAACCGGGAACCGGTCAGCTTACCGGTTTTTTAGACCCCGAAAACTGCTTGTATGTCAAATTGTTTAAAACTGCGGTTCAACCGTTCCGGTCGAACCTTTTCTTTCCTGCTCTTACTAGTCGTTTTTTTTAAACCTCTACTGCCTTCCTTCGTGCGCCTTCTTTAAAATCGGTTTTGTAAGTTTTTAACTCGGGGTCTAACTCATTTAACACAACAACCCACCCGATTGGTTAATGCCTGCTTTGGTTGACCCGTCATTATATAGATGATTAAGTTGGCAAATGTTTCTTGTACCAACCGATGTGGGATACCTCCAAGCTTAGAGTTAAAAGGATATGAGTAATCATTTTGTAGAAGATGAAAATGATGTATGTTTTATCATGTCAACGATGTGGGACAAGAGGTGTAGCTGGTAAATAAAATAATACTTGTTAATAACAACTGCATCACGATCTCCTCCAATGGCCGCCACTCTGGGAAAACTAAAAAACCTAGCTTCTCTAACACCCGAGGCCTCTAACGCCTCATGTCACAACTAACATTTTAGGGCTAGGATTCTCATATTCATGTACAAGATAGTCCTTGGTGTAACTGTGTAACACTATGTTTAAATGAGAATCAAACTTCAATGTTATATCAGTATATACATCCAGAAATTGTCTCCATTCGAAACTCCCTTGTGAAAGCTCTAAACCAAATTCAATAAGCTGTATTCACTCTACTTTGGGGTTTTGACCTTGATTTCTCGGTTCAAACCTCTTAACGGACCAAAACTCTCTTATTGGGCCTAATGGGCCGGTAACCCCTCACATTGACACTTTTGGGCCGAACAACCACAATTGGGCTTTAGTTGGGTCAAAAATTAATCATGTTATATTATTTTGGGCCATAAGACCATAAATGGGTCTTCCAAAGCCGAAAATCACTATTGGGCCAGTATTGTGCCAAAAACTCTTAACTAACATAGTTGT